GTGATGAAGTAGATATAGTGTGATGAAGTAGATATATTGTGATGAAGTAGATTTAGTGAAGTAAATATAGTGTGATGAAGTAGATATAGTGAAGTAGATATAGTGAAATGAAGTAGATATAGTGTGATGAAGTAGATATAGTGTGATGAAGTAGATATAGTGTGATGAAGTAGATATAGTGTGATGAATAGTAGATATATAGTGTGATGAAGTAGATATAGTGTGATGAAGTAGATATAGTGTGATGAAGTTGATATAGTGTGATGAAGTAGATATAGTGTGATGAAGTAGATATCGTGTGATGAAGTAGATATAGTGTGATGAAGTAGATATAGTGTGATGAAGTAGATATAGTGTGATGAAGTAGATATAGTGTGATGAATTAGATATAGTGTGATGAATTATATATCGTGTGATGAAGTAGATATATAGTGTGATGTGTGAAAGTAGATATAGTGTGATGAAGTAGATATAGTGTGATGAAGTAGATATAGTGTGATGAAGTAGATATCGTGTGATGAAGTAGATATAGTGTGATGAAGTAGATATAGTGTGATGAGGTAGATATAGTGTGATGAAGTAGATATAGTGTGATGAAGTATATACAGTGTGATGAAGTAGATATCGTGTGATGAAGTAGATATAGTGAAGTAGATATAGTGTGATGAAGTAGATATAGTGTGATGAAGTAGATATAGTGTGGTGAAGTAGATATAGTGTGATGAAGTAGATATAGTGTGATGAAGTAGATATAGTGTGATGAAGTAGATATAGTGTGATGAAGTAGATATAGTGAAGTAGATATAGTGTGATGAAGTAGATATAGTGTGATGAAGTAGATATAGTGTGATGAAGTAGATATAGTGTGATGAAGTAGATATAGTGTGATGAAGTAGATATAGTGTGATGAAGAAGATATAGTGTGATGAAGTAGATATAGTGTGATGAAGTAGATATAGTGAAGTAGATATAGTGAAGTAGATATAGTGAAATGAAGTAGATATAGTGTGATGAAGTAGATATAGTGTGATGAAGTAGATATAGTGTGATGAAGAAGATATAGTGTGATGAAGTAGATATAGTGTGATGAAGTAGATATAGTGTGATGAAGTAGATATAGTGAAGTAGATATAGTGTAATTGATAACTGCTTCATTGTGTTACAACGCTGTAATATACTGCCGAATTTGTACATTCGAGTCAGATGATCAATAAAATTCGTTCGTTAATGCTCTTCGTCAACTGTAAAATATTAAATGTGCATAATTTTGTTGGTATGCTTGATATGTCAGCAATTCGCAACTCTCTCAGATGAAACAGGAATGGTGAGCTTTCCGTCGTTTCCCTGATATCTAAAGCCCTATACATGTACATACCTTATAGACATAGCAGGGTAGATCTATATTAGTAAAGACTCTCACAAACTGCCAACGGTATACTTCAGTGTGGTAACACTATAAAATCGGCATCAGCTTCTCACTGAAACAAAGTGACTGACTCGAACATATCACAGCTTCACATACAAAAAATGTCCAGAATTTGTTTCAAAATTTAGAGCTAAAAACTTTTAGTTCAATTTACATGTGTATAGCAATAGTTTCGTCTTCGTGAATAGATTGTGATATATTTACTTTAAATACAGAAAATTCCAACTGTTCATGTATGAGAATGAAATAATATTCCCAAACAAGAAGTGGATCAGACCTGACATGTGTTACTGATATTTTTTAACATTCACCATTAACTTTTCTGACCTCAGATAACTTGGCATCCATAATGTTATACGATTAATCATTATTGTACAACACTCTTATAACAATTGACCTTGACCTTGAGACGATAAGTTCTGCGCTTTGTTTATTGGTTATCCGTAGGGTTTTGTTGTTGGTAGGAAATAAACAGGACACAGAAATTAAAGAAACTAGTCCAGACTTATTCTATACCGAGTGGGTAGCTGGACAACTGTCCATAGAACGTTAAACTATGGGATACCAAACCGAGGTTTGTGTGTTGTGGTTTTACTAGTTTTAACTGTCTTAAAACTGCCGAGATCATCTAAGCTATGTACAGATGTGTGTTTGTAAGGACACAAAGAGCAGAAAAATAAATTACAGAAAGAAAAAACAAGATGGGTATATGATCCAATATGCTTCCGGTTGGGACAGTAAAACTGTACTGTGTAAGACATGTTAGTTAAACACGTGTGTCTTCATTGTGGTAGTTTAAGTTCAATAATTACGGTCAATTGTCACAAGGAGCACACATGTCAAACAGGACAGCCCCTACCTCTTATGGTGCAATAGTTATTGACAAGTTTAACATCAACAACAGACAAACAAACAAACAAACAGCAGAAAAATCGGTATGCCCTCGATATTTTGATACGGAGTATAACGACGAGAAGTCAATAGTTGTAATGTTACTTTCAAAATAGAAGTAATATTTTTTCTGACCGAAATGAAGATTCTACCATACTAAGAGAGATAACTCTCGCGTCATTCAGATCAAGGCGACGCTTGACAGCCGACCGTTAATAGTGAATGGATAGGAAAAATCAACCTCTCTTATACAAAAATGCATCCATTTCAAGAACTTCTGCCACCATGAGCGTCTTAAGGCGATATCAAAATCACATTGTTCTCGAATATCAGAAAGTCTCAGCCCAAACAATTACAGAAGGATAGAACTTGTCCCAGAGACAGAAAATAAAATCGTTACACACCTGAACAGCAAAATCAGAAAGCAAAAAGACTGCAACACAATCTCGTCTGTTTTATCTTCAGTCGACATCAAGGTAATGGAGAATAGCTGTTTTAGATAATGTATGTTTGTATGATGCCGAGTAAATCGTTATAACTGTCATCAGAGAAATGTTTATATCTATTGTCATTACTCAGTTGTATGGTATATTTTCCTAACTCAACTTTATATCCCTGTTATGTTTTCATGATGACCGGCAAATCTTCACCGAAGCGTGATTAAGCTCTCCTTACAAATAGGAAAGTGTTTACTAAACCATCATCTAAATTTTTGCGACGTTGTGAAATGCAGGGAACATAAAAAAAGCCCTCGATGGATTTGTGAGAAAGGCAGGAAATATGTCCTTCGTTCATGTAAACAATAATTATCTGAGGACTGACTTCCTGCTAACAAAACATGACCAAATTATTTAATTACACGATCATGGACAGCTTACCGGATATTAAATTCAAATATATCGCTGTACCTGTTACTCACACGACATGATAGTGAACTTAACATGGAATAGTTTTCTCTTTTCGAAAGACCTTTTTATTTCTCTTATCAGTTGTCTCCCCTGGCGGCCGCACTGCTTCACATTCGGCTATGATGTACGACATCCATCCACGTGATGGCATATCCTTGACGTGTCAAAGTCATTGAAATGCTCCTTCCTGCTTCAGTTGAGTGTTATGCTAGTGTGGTCACATTATGTAATTCCAGGTAGTGTCACCTGCCCGACTACTGATTTATCCCGTGTACTCCGGTTTCCTCCTACAGCAAGACTCCTCGTGCATTTCCACCCAGATCAGCAAAAATAATTTGTTTTAGCTGACAGCTTGTTTCACAGTTTTTGCAAAATAGATATAACTTATATTATAAACTGGAATATCAATCTGTAAACACGATCATAACCAAACTAAACAAAAACTCCATATCAAATCTTACTTGTTTGAAACAAATTCACAAAAGTAGATTGATTTTTACAGAAGTTGCAGTAATATCAATTGATAGTTTATTGACAAACAACAAAATAAATAAACAAATACTTTTAACAGAAAATAATTTTTAAAAAATTTATTTCCGTATATTATTTTTACAAACATTATATTTTACATAAAAATTATACTATATGTAGAATTCGTCATCACAAATGCTAAAACATCAACAACAATTATGTATGGTATATAGAATTATATGGCGTGAATCTATTGGAATAGTTGATATAAGTCTAAGAGAAAACCTCATTATTTTAGTATTGTCAAGTTCTCTATGTGTTTGACGTCTATAACATTCCACAGTAGATATAACAATGACACTGAGTATTGCTCCAGCAATACATGTCCACCTAACAGCCGCTACCCCGATTTCACCCGAAGGAACCTTAATAAACTGTAGCGGAATTAAGAACTGATTAAGATCTACAATGAACTATATTGCATCACAAACTATAGATAGTTTGTTTCATTGTTTTTGTCATTTTTTCATATAAAATCAGAGTATAATGCGTTACTAATCATCCCTTCTGTTAAATAAACCATCATTTATTTTCCCGTTTATTTTACCTCGTGAGTGTTAAATTCTAAAACAGCGAAGCATCTCTCTACCGCCCTGAGAGTGGTATTTGATATGTGATTGATTATCTACAATACTACAGGTAACCGATTGATTATCTACCATACTACAGGTAACCGATCGATTATCTACCATACTACAGGTAGCCGATCGATTATCTACAATACTACAGGTAACCGATCGATTATCTACCATACTACAGGTAACCGATCGATTATCTACAATACTACAGGTAACCGATCGATTATCTACAATACTACAGGTAACCGATCGATTATCTACAATACTACAGGTAACCGATCGATTATCTACCATACTACAGGTAACCGATCGATTATCTACCATACTACAGGTAACCGATCGATTATCTACAATACTACAGGTAACCGATCGATTATCTACCATACTACAGGTAACCGATCGATTATCTACAATACTACAGGTAACCGATTGATTATCTACCATACTACAGGTAACCGATCGATTATCTACCATACTACAGGTAACCGATCGATTATCTACAATACTACAGGTAACCGATCGATTATCTACCATACTACAGGTAACCGATCGATTATCTACAATACTACAGGTAACCGATCGATTATCTACAATACTACAGGTAACCGATCGATTATCTACAATACTACAGGTAACCGATCGATTATCTACAATACTACAGGTAACCGATCGATTATCTACAATACTACAGGTAACCGATCGATTATCTACAATACTACAGGTAACCGATCGATTATCTACAATACTACAGGTAACCGATTGATTATCTACAATACTACAGGTAACCGATTCAAAGTACAGTTGATAAAGAGACGAACGAACTAAAATTGCATCCCTGCAAATACACAAAATTGATATAAATCAAAAAGACAAATGATAATGATAAAAAGACATAGCAGGCATGAAGTAAAATATAAAGAAAACTCTCCGTCATTCAGTTTTAACATATTAGCTGCATTGATATTTACTGAATTTGTTGACTTGACAATCAAGGATGACGTAAAACTGTCTCATATTAAGCTGCTACTGAGTGCACCATTAAGTTTGTGTTTGTTTCGAGTATACAATATGCAGTTGACTTAGAGTACACGTACAGCTGGTACACAACAGCTTAAAATCAACTTTGAGTAGAGTGTACGTTTTGTAGTGAGTTCAGATAAAACTGAATTGAGTAAAACAGATTAAATTTTGTAATGAGTACAGATATGGAGGATATTGTGTACAGTACCGAGTATCACGTGTGACCGTTTTCTTTCCTTAAAAAATCTTCACATTAGGATTTGCCATTCAGCGAAAACTTGGATCACTTTTCACACATTTCAATTTTACAATCTTTTTTTTTTTCCGTAGTGACAGCCGAACCAACAATAATGGCAGTAAAAATACACTATCGTCTATCTACTAGGAGTAGGAATACAGAGGATACCTTACATAGATACAATGATAAAAACTCCGCGAAGTCTTGTTGAACTTCTTTGATACAGTATAAATAAACATCATTAAACATGTTTCAGCAGGATAAACAGCTGTATCGTTTTCCAGAGTTTGAGTAGAACACGTGACATCATGGATCAAAGCACTTGGATATTCCGGGACAGATGAAGGGCCGTAACTCTAATAATTTATGATTTGTTATTATCTTATTCCAATTACGATTAATTACTATCTTATTGTCTACACCCTAATGGCAGAAGCAAGTATCGGGTACAAAATTGGAGGCGTTTAATTGGTATCACTCACTAGCTCTCTATTCATATCATACAGTCACACACAAGAACATCACGTGACACACTAGAACATCACATGATAAACAAGAACATCATGTGATACTGTGCAACAACACGTGACGCACTACAACATCATGTGGTACACTAAAACATCACGTGACACACTAGAACATCACGTGTTACACTAGAACATCACGTGACACATCAGGATCAAAAGTCTACTCTGCTTTCAATTTTTTTTGCCTGATTTTCTCCACTTTATCTTCCAGACGTATCAACTTCTCGTCGTTAGTGTTTTCCAGAAGACCGGTCATCTTTTTTATATCATCGTGAAGGTCACCATATTTTCTTCTGCCTATCAACTACAACGCAAATAGAAAGGATTTTAATACAACAGTTTATCACTTTATTTCACAAAGTATCCTGATAGACCTAAACTGATGGCTTTGACCAGATGCGCATCATACTTAATTAACATTATATTTACACAATGGCGGTCAATATATACAGACGGTTAATGGTAGCTTTTCACCAAGTGTTGGCACCATTTTATTCACAAAATGTTATCAATTTCATGAATCAATGCGAGCTTTTAGTTTTATGGGCTTCTTCTCTAAGAAAATGTCTTACATTTAAAACATCTAGTGCAAGTTTGTGTGAAACAAGATATGATAAGAGTTATTTCCCTTGTATTGTTTGTAACATTCGCGCCCTAGGAATCAAACGTTTTGTATCTTTTTGACAACATTAAACTTCGTTTGTAAGAAAATGGAACATTTAATTTAAGTCTGAGTTGCCATTTACTTATTCATTCTATCTGTATTTACACATACCTATTAGAAGGAGATTGTCATTACTGACGGAGGGGCGTTTGTTTCTATTTTTGGAAATTCTTACACTATTATATATAGATCAACCTAGTCATTTTCACTTTCCATGCGTTTCTTCTCAGGATAATGAGGATTGTTTTCCATTTCTGACTACCTTATCAATTTTAAAATCACAACTATTTATAACATATACATGTAGTAGATGTGATGGCCACTCACAACACACCGAGCTACACACGATACGAAACACGCAGAGATATATAGCGACATCTACTTAACTTTTAAATTAACGTAGCTGGTTCAGAATATACACATATACTGAACATTCTTCTGAAAATTATCAGATTTATAAAAATTAGGAAATTTACTGAATTTCTGGTTTCGACACTTTTTTCGATCAATTAGGGTTTTACCACAGTTTCATCCCATGTTTAATACTTAAGCATATAGTCTCACTGACTAGTCCAACAGCTGTATGACACAATTTAGTTTAATGTTTGCTCTGCTGTATCTATCTATAAATTTGTAATAAACGGTGCTATTTACTTGTGTGTCTTTTGTACAATATTACACGCTGACGTACAGCTGACATTTTCTCCTTTCAGATTTTCTCAAACATTTTCAAAAATTTATTTTCCCGAAATTCTGGAGGTTTATTTTGCTGTGTTTATACTAGGAGTATTCCCTACATACCACATCTCTGTGTCCTGGCCTTGCATCCTGCCACGGGTATGGCCGATTTTTATTAATCCTGAAATATAGAAAGTGAAAATGTCCTAGAACAGACAAAAGCATTCCTATTTCCTAGAGTTACTTCCCTTCGTTTCACTCTTACAAAGAGACAAGTTTAAGGTAAACATATTCTTATGGCGAAGAAATATCTGGCGAAGTGCCACAGCGAAACACACACAGAAAACATATGTTTCGTGAAGTGTTTCTTTAGAATGATATATAACATTTCGGTTCAAATTCTAAACTGAAACAATATTTATAATTTTGGAAATTATACACAAACAATGAGACAACTAGATGGTCACAGTTATCGGGAACACATGAAGTAACAACACACAAACATAGAATACAAGATGAAGTAGACATAGACTTATCACAGTAATCGTTATTTTAAAGAACCACTAGAAATTAATGAAAATAATTGAAAATGTTATTTCTGTTAATAAAATAATTTTCCATGCAAAATTTATACTTACGAAATATCAATGTTTGCAAACAAGTAGTATAGCGGATAAGCTATGGCTGCCGTTACTGCTAGTCCCGTGATGCATGTCACCGTTGTCAGCTGGAGAAAAAAAATGTTTTGTTCCTTAATTCTGAGATACTGTAGAATTTCTCACTTTTGTTGGGTGTTAATTTTCGTTGATTTCTTGGGTAATGTTAATCCAAGAATTCAAATGCCACCGAACTCTTAAGATCTGTATACACTATTTCAAGCGATTTTATTGAGCTATATTTCTCTATGAAATAAAAAAAAACCATCTTAAAAAAGACGATATGTTAGAAATGAGATACCACAGAAATCCCAACGTTCATATCTTTTCGCCAAACGGCGGATTTTCGCCTTAGATTCTTTAAGCGAAAACGCAAAGAGACGACATAGTGAACACAAAAGGCGACGATTCAAACTTGCAAAAATATATTTTTTTTGTGGTGTGTTTCCCGTTTGAAACAACACGAAATGACAGAAGTCAGCCACCATAGATTTCAAATGTAACCTACCTCCTTATGCTTGACCCCATTTAATGGATGTAACAGGCTGTCCCGGGAAAATACCTTTTCATAGGCACTTTGTCCCTGCGAAAATAGAAATGAGGTTTGAATTAGCCTGAAATATCTCTTTATGTTAAAGACATTAACTTCTCCCGAGCTTGATCATATTTGTTGTATAACGAAAACAACCTCTCAAACATATAGGATAAAATAGTAAAAACATTTGATTTGGACGTCATCGCCGAATTGTACATCCGAAAAGATATGTCTGCCGAATGAGGATTAAATCATATATATTAGTTCCATCTATCGAATAGGGACGGAAAAACAAAAAACACTAAAAACTTCTCACAGGTTTCTACAGTCAAGGTCATACGAGGACAGTGTCAACGATTGATAGGGTCACTGACGGACGCTTTTACAGTACTATCACACTGAAATGCTTTCAAAGTAGCATGACATCACATCCGGTTACAAGGCTGATCAGTATACTTGTACATATAGCTATTGAACGACATGCAAAGAACACAAAGTACAATTTTAACTACTTTACTATGACAGAACCTTCTCCAGAGTGACATTGGAAACATATCAACCTTCAGACAAGAAACGATCGTACGTTTGGCAGCTATCATGATAAGTAATGTACCTTTAAAGAAAATAGCATATGATATACACTTATAGCCTTTTGATGAGTTGAAACATGTAGTTATTAACCTAACAAAAATATCGACCGAGGACACTTGGGAAACAGATATCACTATTCCAGCCAATAATGTGGCATATTTTGTCAGTTTTATGATAAATTTCTAAAATGAAAAAGTCATAATTCGTTGTGATTGAATAGTTAAGCTACCTAGTACTAAAGCTAACACATATTTACACAGTGACACGAAAAAGCTATTGATATGTGTTGCGCGACAATAACAAGGTGACTTTCTCTTGCAAAAAAAGGGTGGCCATACCGTCGTTGCTGTGAGGGAAACGTGTCTGACTTAGTAACACAGTTATCTCACACTTCAGAGGCACATTCTGTTAAAGATTAAACTGATCTACCTAGGCATTTCCTTGTTAATAATATTTTTTATCCCCGAAAACGATCACTGTAGGTTGTATAACCCATTGGTCCTATGGGTGTTCTAATGAACTCTTTACAATGCTTAAATGATGACAACGAAAACATCGCTAGTAAATACTATATTTTTAAAACTTTAACTTATTAGATGCGAGTATTGTTAAGTTATAAAACCTGCCCATTTCACTACAAACGCCGGTTTAAGACTAAATAACCCGGCGTCAGTTACCGGAGATAGGGGACGAGATCACTTTAAAGTCTAATGGTGCTGTGAAAGAGTCTATCGACTTCCGCTTCATCCGTGGACAACGTCCTCAAACCATCCATACCTCAGCAAGACCGCGGAACAAAACACATTTTGACTAAAGGTTGCTTTCTACATGGTATTATTCTCCCCGAGACATGTTATTGCGTCAGGCGTGATATGGTTATATGTGACATAACACTGACACTGCCACATATCAGTACGACCATGTGTAAAATGTTTTAAACAATACATTTCTGTTTTACATGAACCTTGCTGAATTAATTTTTCCAGAGGCAAAAATTCATTTTATTTATGTGACACATAGCACAGCACAAAGTGCGTACAATAGATTTTGCCATTATAAAATGAGGCTTCTAACTGATATCTACTCGAAAACATAACTTACCCCAAATTTTCTGACCACAGGAGACCGGACAGTCGGCCTGAGTAAAGTAACGGACAGTCTCTGTAAAGAAAACAACATTATATAGAGATACATTGGAACAACTTTGAAATGAAAAAAAATGTAAAGTATTTAAAATGTCATCCCATAAAAAAGGACTTTTTATATAAATGTATGTGGCCTTTTAATTGTGTAACTTGAACTAATGTTTGATTAATCGATAAAATAGTGCATGTTGTTAACCCGATATCATTATGTAACGTGTAACCACGAGCGCTGTCAAGGCGTAAGCGAAGTCGGTTACAGCCAAGTCCAATGTAGTATTATAGAGGGAGTAGGGGGAAACTGTAAAGAGGGAGTAGGGGACCACTCTGTAGAGGGAGCAATGGGACACCATAGAGTGAGCAGGGGAAACTATAGAGGGAGTAGGGGGACACTGTATAGAGGGGTAGGGGGAAACTGTATAGAGGGAGTAGGGGACACTCTATAGAGGGAGTAGGGGACACTCTATAGAGGGACTAGGGGGACACTCTGTAGAGGGAGCAGGGGGGCACTCAATAGAGGGGTAGGGGGACACTCTATAGAGGGACTAGGGGGACACTTTATAGAGGGAGTAGGGGACACTATATAGAGGGAGTAGGGGACACTCTATAGAGGGGGTAGGGGGACGCTGTATAGAGGGAGAAGGGGACACTCTATAGAGGGAGTAGGGGGACACTCTATAGAGGGGGTAGGGGGGCACTCTATAGAGTGAGTAGGGGACACTCTATAGAGGGACTAGGGGGACACTCTATAGAGGGAGTAGGGGGGCACTCTATAGAGGGAGTAGTGGGGCACTCTATAGAGTGAGTAGGGGACACTCTATAGAGGTAGTAGGGGGGGCACTCTATAGAGTGAGTAGGGGACACTCTATAGAGGGAGTAGGGGGACAGGAGGGGGAGTAGGGGACACTCTATAGAGGGACTAGGGGGACACTCTATAGAGGGAGTAGGGGGACACTCTATAGAGGGAGTAGGGGGACACTCTATAGAGGGGGTAGGGGGACACTTTATAAAGGGGGTAGGGGGACACTCTATAGAGGGGGTAGGGGACGCTGTATAGAGGGAGTAGGGGACACTCTATAGAGGGGGTAGGGGGACGCTGTATAGAGGGAGAAGGGGACACTCTAGAGGGAGTAGGGGGGCACTCTCTATAGAGGGAGTAGGGGGGCACTCTATAGAGGGGGAGAGGGAGTAGGGGAACACTCTATAGAGGGAGTAGGGGGCACTCTATAGCGGCAGTAGGGGGCACTCTATAGAGGGAGTAGGGGCACTCTATAGGGGGAGTAGTGGACGCTCTATAGAGGTAGTAGGAGGGCACTCTATAGAGTGAGTAGGGGACACTCTATAGAGGGACTAGGGGGACACTCTATAGAGGGAGTAGGGGGACACTCTATAGAGGGAGTAGGGGGACACTCTATAGAGGGAGTAGGGGGCACTCTATAGAGGGAGTAGGGGACACTCAATAGAGGGAGTAGGGGACACTGTAAAGAGGGAGTAGGGGGACACTCTATAGAGGGAGTAGGGGGCACTCTATAGAGGGAGTAGGGGACACTCTATAGAGGGAGTAGGGGGACACTGTAAAGAGGGAGTAGGGGGACACTCTATAGAGGGAGTAGGGGGCACTCTATAGAGGGAGTAGGGGGACACTCTATAGAGTGAGTAGGGGACACTCTATAGAGGGACTAGGGGGACACTCTATAGAGGGAGTAGGGGACACTCTATAGAGGGACTAGGGGGACACTCTATAGAGGGAGTAGGGGGACACTCTATAGAGGGAGTAAGGGGGCACTCTATAGAGGGAGTAGGGGGACACTCTATAGAGGGAGTAGGGGACGCTCTATAGAGGGAGTAGGGGGCACTCTATAGGGGACACTCTATAGAGGGAGTAGGGGGACACTCTATAGAGGGAGTAGGGGGACACTCTATAGAGGGAGTAGGGGGCACATAGAGGGAGTAGTGGGACGCTCTATAGAGGGGGTAGGGGGACACTCTATAGAGGGAGTAGGGGACACTCTATAGAGGGAGTAGGGGGACACTCTATAGAGGGAGTAGGGGGCACTCTATAGAGGGAGTAGTGGACGCTCTATAGAGGGAGTAGGGGACACTCTGTAGAGGGAGTAGGGGAACACTCTATAGAGGGAGTAGGGGGACTCTATAGCGGCAGTAGGGGGCACTCTATAGAGGGAGTAGGGGCACTCTATAGGGGGAGTAGGGGACACTCTATAGAGGGAGTAGGGGACACTGTAAAGAGGGAGTAGGGGGACACTCTATAGAGGGAGTAGGGGGCACTCTATAGAGGGAGTAGTGGACGCTCTATAGAGGGAGTAGGGGACACTCTGTAGAGGGAGTAGGGGAACACTCTATAGAGGGAGTAGGGGGCACTCTATAGAGGGAGTAGTCGGACACTATAGAGACTCTATAGAGGGACTAGGGGGACACTCTATAGAGGGAGTAGGGGGACACTCTAAAGCGGGAGTAGGGGACGCTCTATAGAGGTAGTAGGGGGCACTATATAGAGGGAGTAGGGGGACGCTGTATAGAGGATGTAGGGGGCACTCTACAGAGGGAGTAGGGGGGCACTCTATAGAGGGAGTAGTGGGGCACTCTATAGAGGGAGTAGTGGGGCACTCTATAGAGTGAGTAGGGGACACTCTATAGAGGGACTAGGGGGACACTCTATAGAGGGAGTAGGGGGACACTCTATAGAGGGAGTAGGGGGCACTCTATAGAGGGAGTAGGGGGGCACTCTATAGAGGGAGTAGGGGGCACTCTATAGAGGGAGTAGGGGGACACTCTATAGAGGGGGTAGGGGCACTCTATAACGGGAGTAGGGGACACTCTATTTATCACCCCAGGAACCTGTCAGTGAAATATTTGTCTTTTTTATCAGGAAAAGATACAAGGTAAATCAATTACCACACAGCTGTTTCTGAGTTTGTGTTAAAATTACATCCTAAAGGCATACCTGTGGTGTACAGTATTCTTTATTCAATTGGCTAGATTTGTCCGGACGTAAAACAAAACAAGCTCCTATCTATTTTGTTTGATACGTAAATATAAGTATTAAAGCGTAAGTACTCGAACAAATGTACTCAGACACAAGTACTCAGACACAAGTACTCATAAACAAGTACTCAAACATATGTACTCAGACACAAGTATCAGACACAAGTACTCAAACACAAGTACTCAGACACAAGTACTCAAACATACGTACTCAGACACAAGTACTCAGAAACAAGTATCAGACACAAGTACTCAAAAACAAGTACTCAAACACAAGTACTCAGACACAAGTACTCAAACATACGTACTCAGACACAAGTACTCAGACACAAATATCAGACACAAGTACTCAGACACAAGTACTCAAACATAAGTACTCAGACACAAGTACTCAGACACAAATACTCAAACACAAGTACTCAGACACAAGTATCAGACACAAGTACTCAGACACAAGTATCAGACACAAGTACTCAGACACAAGTACTCAGATACAAGTACTCAGACACAAGTACTCAGACACAAGTACTCAAACATAAGTACTCAGACACAAGCACTCAGACACAAGTACTCATAAACAAGTACTCAAACATATGTACTCAGATACAAGTACTCAGACACAAGTACTCAGTCACAAGTATCAGACACAAGTACTCAAATACAAGTACTCAAACACAAGTACTCAGACACAAGTACTCAGACACAAGTACTCAAACATATATACTCAAACACAAGTACTCAAACACAAGTACTCAGACATAAGTACTCAAAAAATGTTTGGAATTATCATTGGCTACAATGATCCTCGCGTGCGATACGGTCATCCAACTTCCCGAATACTGTTCTGCTGTCACCGTTGGTGGGCGTAGAAGAAGAGGGCAGGGAACGAGGTCTTCATTTAATTTTTGATGTCCCTATTGTCGCGGGAAGAGGGCAGAGAGTACAGTCTTCTTACTAATCCCCTGATGTCCCCCTAGACTGGGGTAGAGAGTACAGTCTTCTTACTAATCCCCTGATGTCCCCCTAGACTGGGGTAGAGAGTACAGTCTTCTTACTAATACCCTGATGTCCCCCTAGTCTGGAGTAGAGAGTACAGTCTCCTTACTAACCCCCTGATGTCCGCTTAGTCTGGGGTAGAGGAAGAGGGTAGAGAGTACCGTCTTCTTACTAATACCCTGATGTCCCCCTAGTCTGGAGTAGAGAGTACAGCCACCTTACTAATCCCATGATGTCCCCTTAGTCTGGGGTAGAGGAAGAGGGTAGAGAGTACCGTCTTCTTACTAATCCCCTGATGTCCCCCTAGTCTGGGGTAGAGAGTACAGTCTTCTTACTAATCCCCTGATGTCCCCCTAGTCTGGGATAGAGAGTACAGTCACCTTACTTATCCCATGATGTCCCCTTAGTCTGGGGTAGAGAGTACAGTCTTCTTACTAATACCCTGATGTCCCCCTAGTCTGGGGTAGAGGAAGAGGGTAGAGAGTACCGTCTCTTCATTGATGCTCTGTTGTCCCTATATACAGGGGTATATTTATCATGTTTTCTTGTGTATAAAAAGTTATATACAATGTCCTTCGAGGTTACCTCAAAGTATACTCTGGCAGTCACTTGACATTGAATAGTTGTACTTGTCGTTGTGCACAAATATTTGTTTTATTGAATAATCAAATTGAACTACAAGGTGATATTGATATGATAAACTTGTGTAAGACTTAAAACACAACTGTTTTATATAACTGACACTGATTTTACTTACAATGTATATTATGTATCTTAGCTACACGGCACAGTGTTCTCAAGTATAAACACCCGTTTTTAAACTGTTGGAATCTATAAATAGTATAGGTAATCTGAAAGGTTTTGGTCTATATTACAGAATATAACTTACCATTTTAATATTTTGTGTTAATTTTAACATTTCTCTTTTACGTTTTAGTTTGTTTAATGTTATTCCCTTTTGGATCGCTGTCTGTTTCACCAGTTGATGACCTTAATGATGTTTCATATGTTAACGGGCCG